CAAATACTTGGAGATTTATAATAATTGCAATACTTGAGAGTTGAATCGATAAGTTATTTCTGAACTTGAAATAAAAATAGTTTTAATAATAAACTAATAATATATTTTAAAAGTGCACCCAGATAGGTCAAAGTCAAATTATTTACTTAGATAGTTCAAGGAAAACTGAGTTCTAGATACTTTTACTATTATAAGTTATACACAATCTTATGGTATAGACCATATTGGTATATAGTGTTGTTGGGCATCAAAGAGAGTATTTTTCTTTTTTTTAATTCGACTGATTTTACTTATTTATATTTATAGTTCACGGAATTAAATGTCCTAAAAAAACAAAATCTAATGCCATGATAAAAATAACATGACTAAGCGAAATAAATAATCCCTTTATTTTCTTTTTTCTTTTTAGTGGGATGGATTATGGTAAATTGTGATCAAATCGTTTTCCTTTTTAGAAAAAACAAAATCAATGTTCTCATGTATATAAACATTATGAACAAATGATCTAAAAATTACAAAAAGCAAAATAAAGTTTAGTTTATAAGTTCATTGATGTACCAATGAAACGAATTGTGTATTTGGAAAGTGATGGTCTCAGAAAAAATACAATTAGCATTTAAATCTTCGCCTAATTGTAATATAACGACGACCAAACACTTAGACTAGCGTAATTTGTTATTAGGCGTAAGTATATTAATAACAATTTAATGTCGTACATTTCAGTATATAATACACTATATTTTGTGTAGATAAGTGTTTGAAATTGTTAAATGTTTATTGAAACTATAATGAGCAGTGCAGTATAATTTAAACTTCGAACAATTTAAAGTAGATTAATTCTAATCGTATTTAAAGTAATTTTTGTTGCAATAATGCTTTACGATTATTATGATATTACAACTGGGATTCACTGATAAAACAATGCAAAACTATTATTATGAAATCGAGTTTTGCCAAATCTATTCGCGGAATATATGAGTCGGTATATTTTTTCTTCAATTCAAAATGGCTAAGAGACGTCAAAAACACATTATAATCGTCCAAAGGCATTGTACTGTTTTTGGTGATTTTACTAATTATAATACTATAATGTTCCCATTTATTTATTAACATTGCGCGTCATTAATATCATTACATTCTCAACGAACTCTGAGAAATAGGTACTACACATCTCGAGCAGTCTGCAGTGAAAAGTAGGTACATCATTTTCATTTTTACATTGAAACCATTCGTCCCCATTTTATTATGGTCATTTGAAACGGAACAAAACGTTTGTATGGTTGTACGAAATAATAATAACATCGCGGATTACATTAACTCAAAAACCATGGTACAACAATACTGCTATGACTTTATTTTTCAATTACTTAGCCGTACAAAGGGTATGGGTGAAAAATGAAAATCAATTAATGATCAATGCTATATTACTTTATTGTTGAACAAATATCATTTATTTGATATTGCTTTGAATGGGTTTCTTCCACTGGCGTGTAACTTGCATGAAAAACTTTGAATATTTAAATATTATATATAGTAGAATATGAGAAATAAATTAAAAGGGACATTGCATACAACGACGACATTTCAAATAAAAAAGAATATTACGATGAATATGACGTACTGTATAGGTAATGAAAGTTCTTTTCAATAAAATCATATAATGGTTAGCTTTAAGTTTAATTATATTACATTTTATTGTATAACATTTTCTTAGTAATTTATTTTATATTTTATTAAAAAACGATCGTAAAAATCATGTACGTGGGTAACGTGGTTTCTTACTGTATTTTATTTCATATCGGTTTTGATAGAAAAAATATCAAGAATAATACTATTTTGTATTAATTTATTCATCGTATCTGATATAATTAGAATAATAAACAAGTCATGTTTAAAATAATTGAATCACGAGGTGAATTCGGTTAGAACTTGAAGGCTTTTAAAAAAATATAATTTTGAAGTTTTTAAACTTTGATGGACAAACAATTGGCTTTGATGTTTAAATAACAGACTAGTAACTATACATTTTTCAAATTTAGTCCACAAAAATCTCGGAACAATCGTAATACACGTGCTAATGGCATATTTATAACTTTCAAAATTCAAATTGTACATATTATTGTGCCTGTTTAAATAAATTCAACTGTTTGAAAATTTAACATCTGTGGGGATTTCCAGATTATTTACATAACTTATAACCGAGGTTCGAGACCATGGATCTATTATGGCCACTTCTTTCTGGCCATAATAGCTCATAACAAAAACGATTTGACAGCGTGTTCGCCTGTCATTTTATTAGGCCCGACGGCTACTGTTAAAGAAGACCTATAACCACTGTTGGTCGAACTGGTTTATTGTTTCTCACCTATAAACTAAGTTTTTCGAAGAGAGGAAGTTCTAATGATTACTGAATTTTTGGTCCATACTTCGGTACGGAGAAATAAGAAAGCTGTGCAATTTCCATGCCAAGGTCCATTCAGTCATTCAGATGTTGGAAAGGAATGAAAAGTGTTTTACCATTTACTGTTTGTCACACCGTCTCAATATTGATTAGTTAAAGGAAAAGCTGAAGGTGAAAATCAAGCAAAAATGACTCGTAGTGGTCGGAGAGTGAATTTTCAGAAAAAGGTTAAAAGTGCAGGAGTTTCCCTTCACTAAATTTAAAATGTTTAAAATTAATTATACCTGATTAATGGCTCTGATAACCAAAATAACTATGGTTAAATTTTGCTTATGTATTCTATTTTGTCAGCTAGACAGTTTTCTCTGCTTACCAATATTTTTGTTTTATGCATGCGATGTATTAATATTATTATTACCTAACTAATTAACTTATTGTATGTTAAATGCACTATACGTTCACCATTATATCTGCAAATATTAGGCCTGAACATATAAGAATAGATATAATAGACCATGTATTATGTCAAATATTTTGAAAATAGCAGTCTATTAGTATAACTGTAGTTTTTTTTAACCTAGCCGTAAACATTATGTTTATCAGTATTCAGAAGTCACATATTTAAATGTAGGTGTCGATTACGTCATTCTAAAACGTACTTATTGTGGAACGTACCGTGTACGTACAATTATACCAACACACTGCATACTGCTACACGTTTGTAAAAGGCACCCGATTGGATGGAATTAAGTTTTAGTAGCCCTATAGTTGACAGAAACTGAAAAACTAGGTAGCTATCAGTAATTCAGATACTTTTATTTGTGGTTTGCGTCTCTGCGTTACGATCATAATACAGCTAATATTTTTACGAATCAAATTATTGAAAAAAAAAAAAATAGAAGTATTACACTTGCAGTAATATTAAATGATACCCGTAATATGCAAGAATATAGTATAAGTTATACATAATGAAGTATATATTCAGAAACGTGACAAGCATAACGGATACGTGCCCGAATATATAGGGCCCAAATTATAAAAATCCATTTTTATCTTTTATCGCAATCGTAAGTTTTCTTTGTTCAATATCGATTTTAAAATGTAAAAACAATAAATTAAACAATTCGAGATTCACGTGTATTGAATATTTTATACGACTATAATATGAACTAGTTATATTGTACTTAATATATAACAAATCGTGATATAGTTGTTTTGAAAATAATTAAAGTCTAGTAAACGTATTATAGTTTTCAAGCAGCTTGGCTGCATATCATATTTCTTATGTATATATTTATAATATTATTTCATTGTACTTTGGGCTACGGCCTGCTACGACTTCTGCTATAAAATAAAATAATAAATGTAACATTATGCACCCAATATTTACGTCCACACTTACTTATCTAATAATCACCATTATTAAGCGGGTCGCGAATGATTCACGAGCCAGGCCTCATTAATTGTTATTCTTCAATCACTTCTCATACTTTATATTAGAAATAATAATTATTTTATAGTCAAACTGTTCATTTTTCAAAACCGATTGTAACGATGACGATACAATGTTAATAATGTCATGGGTAGATACTCGCGAGCGATGGATAAATGCACAAATAAGGATTTAGAGATGGATCTCGGGATGCGGTTGTCACTTGAGATAGTGCAATCGATATAGGACAGCGGTAAGCTCTGATCGACAGGAAAATATATAATGGCAATACAGAAGATATTCTACCGACGTATAACCGGAAGCGATAGCCCGGCTGATGTCAACCTCTAAACGGAAGTCAATAATACTCAATACACTCGCACGCGAAATGTACTTTAAGTCTCTAACAAAATATAGTAGATACAACTAATGCCGACATTAGTACACACCTAGGTAGTTTGTGTTTGAAAATTGTACATAATCTAAAATTCAATTTTATACAATCGCGTTTTTCATATTACCTGATATTTGATATTATCTGATATCTTATATTATATTTCCCATGTAAGAGTGATGATCCACACTCAAGTTAACAATTTTATAAATCATATCAAACGACAATGTTAATAATATGCCTTAATCGGTTGTAGCGCACTGTTTCGTTTCGGCGGTAGCAAGCAAAACTAACGATTTCCCATTGAGTTTAACTCAAATTTCGCTACTGCATACAAGCACGAAGAATTTACAGTAATTTCTAACCAATAAAATAAAATACCTATTTTATCCTGAACTAAAATGAATAACATAATTTTAAATGTAAATCATTTCGAACACGTCCCACTCCATTTTATCATACTGAAATTCTATCACTGACATTAGATACGTTTAAAAAAAAAAAATGTAAATAACGTTTTTGTGGACGCTGGTACATTTAACAGATTAAAAATTTTTTTTCGAATCATGGCATGTTTAATATATAGACGTACTTGTTTAGCTTTCTGACTAAAAGAAAGAAAACAATTAGCCTATTATATATGAATCACCCCATACACAATATTATATTACGCATGATAGTTCGCTTGTGATGGTAAAGCCGACTTTCGACCACTGATTATGTGGTTAATATAATAATAATAATAGTACTAGGTATTTTGTGTAGGCACTCACCTGCGAGTAGGGCAACAGTCGGCATACGAAATCTCCGAACGGCCAGTCGGGCCGGACACGGACGTAGGCCAGCGCCGGCGTGGTGACGGCGAACAGCAGATCGGCCACGGTGAGGTTGAGCAGGAAGCAGTTGGTGACGGTGCGCATCTCCCGGTACCTGAGCACGGCCCAGGCGATGGACACGTTGGCCACGACTGACGCGGCGAATATAACCATGAACACGGTAACCTCGACGGCCGACTCGGCCTGCTCGTCGCCGAACTCCGAGTAGAATGTGAAAAAGTACCTGGGACCCCAACCTCCCGTCGTGTCGTTGCCCATCAGGTACGACGTGTTGAACAGACTCATTTTGTCAGTCGTTCAACGCAGTCCACCCGTGTCGTCGTTATATTTTGCGCTGTGACGACGACGCCGCTGCTGTTTCTTGGCGATAACCAGTGAAGTCACCGCAGTCGCACATCTACATGCAATAACATCATCATAACCGTATTATTATAACGGACGTGGTCACAGATATTTTCTACAATATGAACTTAAAGCGATTATGTTAACGTTAAACAATACACCTATGCTGAAAAAAACAAGTAAATATCTAGACCTTAAATATAATTATATTATAAATACATTGACACTTGGGCGTGTCATACATAAAACCAGAAAAATACAAATACTAACTAACGTACGATTATAACTTTACGGCTACACTGCAGCCTTGCAGTCTATCGTGGAAATATTAAAAATCCATCTGTTATAATTTAGACGACAAGCAACAATTATTTGGTAGGTAAAAAAAATATCGTTTTCACATCCTCTCCACTGCGTACGCCATTGATTGTATATATGCACGAGGTGATAAGGTGGTGAAGGGGATTATTATGTGAGATGGACGTCATTCAGTAAGTATATTAACGGTACTCGTGTGGATTGTACGAATCTCACGAATGTAATCGACGTATTGAATGGGGGTAATATGGTCGATAAGTCCTCCCCTCAATATTTCTTTATGTACATTTTTTTCAGTAGCTGAAGAATGAGCAACAATAAAACATATCTTACACGAATGAAATATAGTATAAAATAAAATCCAAGAGTATATCACGAGTTGTGATTTCAAGGTTGAATTTAACAAAGCATCATAATAATTCATAATCTATTAACACAACCTTACCGTGTGTTCACTGAGTTATAAAAAAAAATTGATGACTAAAAGCCTCCACAAAGACAAGAATCTTAATGATTTCTAAAATAGGTTATATTAGTAATATCGAAAAGTTTTTAATAATTTAACTAACTTTTATGCTTTTATAAAATGTATTCAGTAATAAAGAATACATTAAAAAATATTGCAGAGAAGGTATTGCTGGTTGCCGGGATAACATAAACGTACATAGTGTATGGTAAGTAACTATTTTTTTTTTGAAAATTACAGGCTATTTTTAGAACTTTTTTCAGTGGTTTTCCATAAATGTTCATAAACTTCACAAACCAAGGTTGTATGGAAAACCGAAAGATTCCAGTTGACCAAATTTATGTTCATTATTTTTAAACTACTTTTTCGTCCAAGAAATTGTTTCTTGTATAGTTGTATTTTCCACATGGCTGTGGAGCTAAGAAAAAAAATTAAATCCTGGCAAAACGCCTTCATTCATCTTATCAGTTTGAATATATCATAATAATAATAATAATAATAATAAATAATCCTGAATCATTAGCTAGGTATTATTGTGATATGTACTTAAAATATAGAGCTTAAATGATTTTCAAATTAAGATGTCAAGTTAAACAAATATTTTAATATATTTTGAGTCAACATTAATTTATATCTTTTATAGCAATCAGTCGATTGCTTGCCAAATAATTGTGTTTTAAGCCCCTTATCGAATATTAAAAGGTTATGTTAGGTTAGTGTACTGAGATATTTTTTTCATAAATATTGACTAAGAAAATTAACTTCAAAAATTATCTTTATAAGGAAATTTAAATTCATAGAGCTAAAACCATTTTATGGTTCATAAGAGTAAATAAAAAATGAACTGGATACCAAAAAATGATTTGGTATGATAAAAAATCATAATTTTATGTTTATATAAAATAATAATACCAGTTTATTTTTTTACTGCTTACCTATATAAGATAATTTTACAATAAAAAGTTATAGTTTGTGCTTTGCATAGCTATTTATCCAAAGGTAAAAATCATGGGAGAATTAAACTGCTAACTGTTAAGAAGCTTAGTCAAATGCAAAATAAGCCTTGTTCATATCCAATATATTCCAAATAGATAAAATAATATAAAATATAATATATAATACTTAACTCAAAAGTTTGAATTCTGGGAGAGAAAAAACTATCAGATAAAAGTTGATAAGTCAATCGACATTCAGTAGACAATCGACATCAGTCATCGTCGTTTTTTATCGACAATGAATCGAAAATATTTGTTTATCATAAAATGCTATCATTATACATAATATATTTACTTAAGAAATTAGGCAATGAAAAAGTCTTAAAAATAATTCAAAGACATCATTAAAAATCATTAAAATGATTAACAAGTATAAAACGTATAGCTTCTCAATTATCACAATTAACTAATCATACATCATTAATTTTCATACCATTTTTATTTTATTGATGGGTTCCAAAAAGTTTAGTTTTTAAATAAATCCATTCAATAAAAATATATAAAACAAAGCTTAATCCAGTTTGGGATTTGAACAGAAATATTTTCATACATTCAATTAAATTCATTAAATTAATTTATCACATAAGTACATTGATAAAAATATACGAATTTATGGAAAAAAAAATATTGTTTCTTGAAACCATCCAATAAAACTGTAATACAATACTGATTTATTTGCTTAACATGGATCATAGTTGCAGTAATTGAAACTTTAGGCTAATTGAGAAAAAAAAAAATAGTTCAAATTCTTAGTTCGATCGTTATGAAATATAAATACGTTTAAAGTTCTCGAGAAAAATCAACAATAAATTAAAGTCGCCTGTGATGTCATGATAATAAAGTAGTGGCGACAGTGTAGCCAGTGTAGGACCTGCTGCCAAGTGTCTGGCCAGAATATAAGTTTGCGATAAATATATTATTTTATAATATTATTAAAGCATCCTCACAAAGGCACAAGCCACAGTATTTTGAATTCAATAAAACGTTTACAATGTAATCATCATTAAATTAAACTCTGGATGGTAAAGTGGCACTAAATAAAAACATTACCTATTTTTAAAATAAAAGCCAGCCTTATAGTTATTATATAATATGATCCATCTCAAATGGGTTAGTCGACACTGCATTTTTTCGTTTTTTAAATTGCACGCAAAGGTACAACTATGAATATTAGCTTAAGTAAACCATTGAAGTTTGATAATATTAACAAGAAACTTTTACCCACCCAGTAGTGAGGGAAATGTTAGTATCAAATTTTTTACAGTTAACCTAATAAAAAAAATCTATGTTCTTAAATTAACACAACTTAACATGCTGTTTTAAATACTCATCACCAATAAATTAATATTCCTAAGAGATTTTTTTTTCATGAGAAACATTTTGTTGTGGCTTAAAATGATGGGTGTTGCGAATCAAGGAAAATGTAATACTTAATACTAATTCGTCATCGATACGTCATAATATAAACATTAAATATAAACAACCCAATCGCAAAGGGAAAACACATGTTACTTATGCGTGCTACTCGATATTTTTCCTCTACAAGGAAAATCTATGGTTCATAAATATTAAATATGTTTTTGTTAGTAAGTAACCATGACAACGAAAACCTTACGAAAATTCTGTCAGAAACAAAATAATCTTCTGTCCAGCCAAAAACATATTTATGTTAAAATATTATTATTTTACGTTGCAGCACAATGGAATAATTAATAATATAAAATATGTTAATACAGTAAGGTATAGTGTCCAGAAATACCCCGGAAAAGGGAGGTTAGTACCCAATAAGATATATTTTACATACATTCAAATCTTTAATATTGTTAGTCACACACGACGAAGCCATTAATGTACGACACGTGGAATATTTAACTCTTTTAACTGTTCTATTCGTACTAACAGTTTGTTCATATTATACGCATAACTATTTTTAACACGATGTTATTTTATCGCCCATACGTAATATTTGTATATTGTTCGAGTTGGAAAAAGCCATATAATAAAATTAAAATAGTCCAATACGGATATACTACCTACTTTAGAATTACCTACTATAATACGTACCAACTTCCTTAGCTCTGTTAAATATACAATATGATCACAAAATTAACGAAAAGTGCCAAGTATCTATATTATCATTTATATTGAATTCGATGTACTATTTGGCCAATCACACTTTGTGTGCAGCGTTCAACTTATTAAATAACTTCAATATAATTATTTTTTTATTCAAGTACCCATTCATAATATAATATTCATCCTTAATGCATATAATTTAGAATAAAGTAAAATCTAATAAAAATAATGTAAAATTAAATTATTTAATATCTCATTAGTCATCATTAATGAGCACTACCTACATACAATTTAATGTATTAAAATAAAACATCAATGGTTTTTTCGCCTCACACAAAAATATTTTAAGTTTTGAAAAATGGCTCACTTGACTCTTGCTGTATTCACTTTTCAGGGTAACTAAATGGTGTTGAAGATGTGCATGGCACTGAATTTCATTATAAATCATTCTCGTCGACCTCAATCTCTGAGTGTATATAACGATTAAACATTTTTGTTTTATACTTTTTCTTAATCTTACGTAAACGAATATCAGAAGTCTTATTTAATATCAATATTATTATTTTTAGAAAGTAGTTAGTAATGTAATTTTATTTTTTATTATTTCATTGTTCATATAGTAATTTTTTTCTAAAACTAATATGGTATAGTTCTTTTGGAATTAAAACTTAAACATTATTGTGAAGTCAAAGTCAAAGACAAATAAATTAAATAAATTAGATACAGCGTAACAACGATAGTAATGGATCACATTTTACACAAACACAATTAACACACTTATATATATATATATTAACTATATTATTGATCTATTTAGGTACCAGTTATTTAAAAATCATATTGTGTCAATTGTATATGAGGTTTATAATGATTAACTCAATTAATGGTACATAGTGTACCATACCTACTGCTTATAGGACTATTAAAAAAATTAATTAAGTAATAGGTAGGTAAGTATAGGAATAGTAGGATGGGTACTTATAAGAAGATTACCTGCGATTAAATATTTTGAAATTCATGGAGTATTATTATACATGTTTTATGAGCAACCTTGTACTAAATAGCCATGTATTTTAGTTATAAAAATTGAAAACATATTAAAGCAATAAATCCGGCAGTGAATTAACTAACGAAAACACAAAATATTCAAAATTCAATATTTATTACATAATAGTGGTCGACATAATCAAAAAAATATTTCAGTTCTAAGTATTAGGTGTAATAATTTATGGCTAGCGAATTGGTGACCTTTCTTTTCAACATTTCTATGGGTTTTTCTCTACGCATAAGGGTACTGCTGGGATGATCAAAACATTTTATACCTCTCTAATATCTGAAGAACTTAAACACCTACCAACTAGATAACCTTTCCAACTAATGGATAAAACGATACATGAAACATTTGTTGCACTCATTAAACATTTTATTAGATACCAGAAAAATCATTGTAAAACAGTTTTAATAATGCAGAATAATAATAAAGAATCTAAAACGATAACATAAAATAATTATAATATTATATTATTATATAACAAAAATAATTTTTGTTTGCATTATACTATAAATGTCATTTTTATCAATGAACAATATTAATATTCTTCAATTAATAATATAATATTGACATTTATATTATTATACATTTTACGATCTTATGAAAATAATCAAATTTTCAGAAATGTTAAATATTCAGTACAATTATTATGAATTGTGATTTAATAAAAATAAAAATAATCAGAATTGGGTTTTTAGATTATGTCTTGTATTCTTTGTACTGCGTTTGATCGAAGTCTGCCCTGACAGACTACATAATAAAAATATAAGCTAAGTCAACATTAAGTAGCGAAATAAATCATGTGTAAAATGAAAACTTCCTAAATTTGCTTCAAAACAAGCTTGTCAGTTAAAAAAATTATGTTAATTACTTAATTTCATATACAGTTATTCATTGTGTTTTGGTATTTTACTCATTTTTAATGTTTGTTTAACACGTTTAAGAAATTAATAGGAAAGGATAGAATATCAAATGACCCTTTCGTCAAAAATATCAATTAATACTTAAAACCATGTTAAAGAGTTGAATTATTACTCATTGTAATATTGTTTCATTGGAAACTTATAAATATCTTTAGGTAAACACTGAAAACTGCTGTACATGTTTTACGTAGTGGTTTCTCAATAGTTTTTAGCAAAATAACTTTAATATTTCAATTTAAAATGGTAAGAAAACAATAAAATTGATCAGTTTGTATTAGACGGAAAAAAAATGATGAAACAACATAGAACTATAGAACTACTTTAGAGGGCGCGTCAGTAAAAAAAAAAAATATGTCTTAACACACCTATTGTAGAGTAAAAACTTCTCTGTGTTTTACTCATTAAGATTACATTATATTGAAATTAAGGTATCTTTATCTATTAAATCAACAAATTACTATCAATTATATTCTATTATCCGTGTCTTATCAAAACAGCGTTATTTAATATTTTGAATTTAAAAGTAAGTATTTTTCATTTTTATCTTTTAAGTTAACTATTTATAATTTATTATCAATAATTTTCTACAAAATAAAAATATTGAAAAATAGTTTGTTCAGAACGCAGATAATATTTTTTATAATACAATTGTTATGATAGGTTACGTGTGTGTGTGGTAGTGTGGATAATACCTCAATTTCAACTATGTGGGTAATTACAATGAGTGAAACATGGAGAGAATTTTTAACTATATTACTGTAAGTGATAAGACTGAGAAAAAATTATACTTGTGTTCCCACTTAACATGAATACGCAATTCTAATCATTATTACTGAGAAAAGATTAGCTCTGTGATTTGGTCGTTTGAATAAAGATGTGTGTTTTTTTGAAAGATTACTAAAGTGAGTACGTTTGAAACGTGTTTTAGTACGAAACATAAGTAATATTCTTTTAGTTTACAATATATTGTAAAGTACCTAATACTACGATATTTGTCTATAAATTGTTTACTTACATTTTTCTGCAATATTTAAAATAAATAAAAATAAAAAACGAATATTTGAAAATATAAATAACAAACATAGCTTAACATTATATCATTACTTAGGTACTCCAAGCGAGTTATAATGAGTCATAAGGATTTATAATGAATCATAAGGAATTATGAGGCACATACTATTTTGTTTCGGTTCTACGCAGCTGTATAATTTAAGTGGACGGATATAAGATATTTAAATACATAATACTTTCTAGTGCAATTAACTGATCGAAATACCTGCACGACAACGCTGTACTATATGTAATCGTTCTAAATACTAAATATATGATACAAATATCACGTTTATTGTAAAATACTAATTCATGATTGTTTCCATAGAATGACAATAAAAACGAATTATATTATAATCTTAATGAGAAAACCGGGCAAGTCTCTCTGCTGTCTTGCAGGTTTGAAACTAACTTTGGCATTGAGAACGACGCAATAGCGGAAGTGTAAAATTTGAATTCAATGATAAATCGTTGTAAACAAGAAGCGATTTTGAGTAAAGAAGTCAAGTGGGGATCAGTGTCATGTATTTCTGAGGATATTTTATAATTTATTCATACTACTATAATTTCTATTTTTATTTTATTTTATTAAAATTATTTACAATCCATACAGTACAATGAGTATAATGAGTAAATTTGATAGAAATGGTTAGTGACAGGAGGTTAGAATTTATGGACAGGCACTCATTAGTGCCACTCAACCATCAGTAATTTGTTTTTCATTATATTCTATTAGTACGCTGAATTAAATTTTGCCGGAAACATCGCATATATTATTGTTATTTACGCGTAACTTATAAGCCTATACCTCGTATGGTAAATCAATGTGAAATGTGAATAGGTTCGTGATATAAATAGCTTAAAATTAGTTCTATCTAATGTACACAATATATTTATCAATGCTTAATGTTTTTTTATCAGTTTAATGAACGATTAAAAAAAATGTCAATTAATTTTCTCGTTTATGGTTTCTACAATGTAGAACATAATTTATTCGGACAACCAATTACATTTTGAATCATATGGAATATTTTTTTTCGTTCCATCGTGTAGTACCATTTAGAATTTAGATTGACAATGGATCGTTATTGTTACAGCCAAAACTTATTATTGTTTATAATAATATGATGTCTGTAGAATATTATAATAGGGGGAAAATGTTTGCGTCCGCCCAATTGTTTGTGGTCACAAGACGATAGATAACTTGAAAATATCTTAAAGTCACAGTAAACGCCTATGATCATATAAACACTGGCGATAAGTAATATGTATATTTCGAGGAAACTGTCAAGTCCTTTACTAAAAACGCTAATTTGTTTGTGTTAATATATTTGGTATGAATTTACGTCATCCGCCACGTTATTATAATAATATGGACAGCTACTTCGACGAAACCAAAAACATACTATAATATTGTGATGTGCATGTTTGTTGGCAGCTATCTTTTAAATAAATACTTATATTGATTTCATTGAGTGTCAAGTAATGTTCTTACCACATACATAATATATAGGTTTATAATGTTTATATGCATTCGGAATCGGAAACGGGTACCTATCAACGAATTCGAATATAGTACTCCCCAGAGTTTTCTGTTATGCCCAATTTGAACGATCTTTTGCAGCTATTCAGTCCTATTCGTACGGTGCGGTTTATGCAAAAGCGCGATACATTTTTAATCTCCAACTCTATTCTATATGTAACATAAAATGTAATCAAACAAGTGTCCCGTACCCATATGGACAAAAATGAATTTACGAACTAGTTATATTATTTTAGAAGAGCTACAACATTATAGAGTTCATATAAAACGATAAAACCTCTTCTAAACATCGAGCACCTCCGAATAGTGAATACATTTCAGCCACCAAGAATATCCAGAATATCCGGTATTTATATATATATTTTGTTTGAACGCGGGTAAAACATTAATTATTATAACCTTAACCAAACTCTCCATGTCATACAATATAATGTATATCAGTCATATTTTTTATTTAGGTACATTTTTCAATATTTATAACTGGAAGATCATTTAATAGGTGGGTTACTCATGCATTGAAATAATATGTACACTGTATAACAATACATTTTCAACATTTAACAAAAAATCTCAGTGAAGTTAGGTGATGTATGCATCGTTTGCCTCCCTCGAATACGTTAGTCATTATGATGTACTCACCGAATTTGGCATGCCAACTAAACCAAAACGAGTACAGATGAGGGAAAAATATGGAGAAAAAAAACAGTGAAGGCGGCGGCAAATCGTTCACATTTCGTCGTCGGTCGAACGCTCGTTGGTGTTGTATTATTTACGATAAATGATCGCGGTAAATATCGTCTAATAAAGAGTTTTAAGAATTTTTTTTATTCCGCGAGCTGCACAATTTCGCGATGACGGACCGCCGGGACGAAAAACACGAGCGGCGACATGCACAGTCGACAAGCGTGTGGACGTAACTCTGGCAGCGCGTCCGCGTGCGACTCGCGGTGTTTGCGGATTAACGCCGCTGTCGCCCCACCCCTACCGCCCAGACGTCACGTGCGCGCGCTGTGTGGCTATACACTTAAGCGATATCGTACCCATCGAAGTATAATCAAATGAGCCGTAAAATACTATTAAAATCACCAAATTTACTTCAAACCTAATCACGTTTCTTTTGGGCAGGAGTCAATGTATAAACAAGAAAATCGACTGCACGTCACACCTTGTGTCCGTTTATCGGTCTATACAGCTAACAGTTGCCGTATGCGGAGCCAGTCGTAAACAATAATTATTGGAACATTCGATCGCGTTTTTTATTGTAAGCTACGTTTGTGTTAAATTTTTTATGACACATTTGCATTTTTGTTCCGAACGCTAACGGCTGATACTACGCGAATACAGATAGTCACCAAACCGAACTATTCGAGTACGTCATGTGCCTTCTTTTATATTATTTACATATCCCCACGACTGTTGTCCCGTGGTTGGTGTTGTATGGTAGAAACAGTTGCAGAAGAGACACTAAAAAAGTGTGTTGTATAATAGTATGGATACATTGTGTACTCTGTGGCCAGAACAGAACAGGAAACCTTTTTCGACCCTGTTACTACCTATCATGCGGTTTACTACTTTGTTGCGTTCGATACGTTAAAAATTACTACCGGTACAATTATAGTAAGCGATGTATAGGTACGTCAAGTTTTTATGCTGAGATTTACCAGTCTCAAACATGAAATATGACCTATTATCGAATTTAGAGCCTGTTTAAATCCATACGAGGACCTACCTACACACTAAACAAACATTTAGGTAAACCGCAAGCGATAATCAGTTTTGACATTTTCATGAATGTATTATATTAGTCGATCCTTCTCGGCGGCTTTTTAATTCTTTCTAATTGTACATCTTCGGCATTGGAAGAATCACTATACATTTTCAAGTTCTTCCATTATGTCGTTTTTGAGAAAAAGCGAGTATGCCCCCCCCCTCCCCGTGAAAAAATCCTAGATATGCTACTGACTCACATATCAAAAATAACCGAGAAGTGTGTACTAGATTTTAAAATTCCTTAATTATGTGTGTTGGAAAAGAAAGCAACTTATAATTGAAAATTTTAAAGTAGAATAGGCTGCATAGAATATTATAAGTTGAGAGGTTATTATTGGTTATACCCTTTAATTATCTTCTCAACTATTTTGCTGTCGTGATTAGTGTGTATCAATTTTCCTCCAAGTTAATGGTAATAGGTTTTCGAAAATGTTGGCTTCATATTACAACTGGAATCAACGAATTCAAATGATGTTTGTAATAGTGCTAGGCAACTAGTATAGAATTATATTAAGAATTAAGAAGATCTAGATAATATTACATTTATTTAAACAACATTGTTTTTTCAACGGGAGAACAATCATTTGTTGTTAAGCTTTCAATCTCTAATACATTGAAATATTGTAATAGGATATTTTGTCGTGGGCTTTATCTATTGGATGCGTAAAATTATATTTTTCTATGTTGAAACAAAAAAAAATAAGTTATCTAAAATCCACTTTGATAAAAAGAAAAAATACCATCGCTTTCCATATAAACAATAAAAAATTCATTTTTCAAGATAAATTGATTGGTCAGATATTATTTATTATTTTGTGACTATAAAGTCAAGAAAACAAAAATTATTATAAAATTCATCAAGGACTATTTGAAAAAAATATGTTGTATTTATTTTTTAAATTTTCAATTGGGATATAATATAGGAACAATAACTACTATTCAATTAAAAGAATTTTTTTCAGAATATTGTACATTAAATTTAATGATTTACTAGTAGGTAGACACAGCTGTGTCAGTATTTGTTTGTAAATTGTTATTTTTATAAATATAATGTACAACTGTGAGAAAAATGTTCAATGCGAAGTGAGAGTAAGGTTGAGCTAGTCTCAAGATTCGGTAAAGTATGTATAAGGTAGGCCACGTAGGCTCTTATTCCAATTCTCTAATGATATATTAATATTTATCGAAAATTTATTTTGTTGGTGGCATAGCTTAATGTGAAACTGATTTTCATACCTCAACTCAACGTATAATTTATATGGTACATCACATGATGCATAATAAACTAATGCCACACAAGTTATGAATTGTATTAGGTACATATAGAACTATACTAATATGAATTATAAATATTATAGCATTCAATTGAATTGTCGACTATAAATAATGCCCGAAACTTACGTTACAATAATAATATGATATTTTGTCAGTTAAGCTATTTGCTTATGAATATCACTATAATTTACTATACTATATCATTATTATAAGAAGGCTGGGAATAAACGAGTTAAAAAGACGTTAAAGTTAAGTTATTTATAACTAAGTCACAAAAGGAGTTACTTTTTTTAAGAAGGAATTACGAGTTATACGAAAAATACGAAAAATACGAGTTAATTGTTTTCCTATGAACGATGTCTGGCTATTAAATAACGAGTCTAAGATGGTAACTTATGAGTTAATTCATTATATTGTCACGTTAAGTTAATTTTTTCTTGATATTAAACCTCGTAGATATGAGTGTAATTTATTTTGAGTAATATAGTTAAGTGTACAGTACGACGGTATACCAGTCTTGATTCATTTAAAGTAGAACAATTACAGTTTAAACACTTAACACGGTGTTATATTGTTATAAGTACAATAAATACACATGAAACGCATCATGAATTCATCATAGAAAAGAGTAATAAGTAATTTAAATTCAGTAAGTTTAACGTTCACATACGAATACTGAATTCACTAAAACTACTGCTGCAGACGAGTGCCTGTATAAGTAATATAAATAATTTGTATTTTATTTAGCTGGATTGAAGGTAGATAAGTACTATAAATACTGCTGATGGCTTTCACCGCAAAGTTTGAACGTTTTCAGACTTCAGTTGTACCCCCTGTCCCCTATATACATAATGGTAATATTATTCTTGGGAGCATCAGCAGAAGTTTTATTGATACTAATAATAATAATAATATGCCAGTTTTCAATGCACTGCGTAACAAAACATCTATGGCTATAAAAATATATTGAAAACAGTTTCTATATTATATTGTACATAGATGTAAATATGAGCAAATATAATATTCTCATACCGTTTGTTTGAAGGCACGAGAAAATAAAATATGCTTTTTCTGCCATCCTATACGCGTACATTATTCGGAGCTCGGTAATCGTTATGTAAGTTATTCTTCTAGTGAATATACAATTTATAGTTGTGCAAAAAATATGCGAAATGAAGAACAAAATAGTCCGTGACAGATAAGTAATTTGAATATCATGTTTTATAATATACTTACGTAATCAATTTACCAAGTACGTAAATGTGTCGAGATAAAACTTAAAATTTTTAATGTCAAAATAAAATTACAAAAATAGTTTAAATATATGATATGATTCCGTAGTTTTATAATAGGTACTTAGCATCTATTTTAAATAAATCTAAGAAAGTTATGGATTTGTTAATAAAAAATAATAGTTGTTCTATGGTTAAGTAGATTGGTATACTTTAAGATTTGACGTCTTATATTATGTCGTAACTACGCTCGTACTGTAATAAACACCAAAGTTAAATGATCAAGACTTTTTACTGATAAAAATACACATTGACTTTAAATTACCTACTTATCGTCATAAGTCTATACACGACCTTATGCTAATTTATTATTATTCTCATTATTGTAACCGGCGGTGATTACTGATTTCTGGCTAATGCGCTTCCTCGCAAGACTCACGAATCACGATTCGTTTTATGTATTTTTACATGTAGTATTTTAAATATTAGTTTATTAGTGTCGAACAATAACATCCCATTTGATGAGTCAATATATTATAGTGAGCTATAAAATGGCTAAAAATGGTCCCTTAAATATGCTTTAGTGGCCTATGATTGGTCTATTACATTTCAGTGAACTATTAAATTAATATATTTTTTATATGGTTCGGAATTAGCATAGTATAAGTGCCATACTATCGTATATAATATTTAAAATGAATTGTATTTTAATAAAATTGATTATTTATTTCTAAAAATAAAAGTAAACCTTGTTCATATCGGGAATTGCAGGTACAATATACTCATCGTAACTATATATAATTAATAGTTTTAATATTGTAAAGAATAATTTTATGGGACGATTTTTATTTATTTTTATATCCGAAGAAAGAAAAATCTATTATTATAACTTATAAGTTGAAATTTATAAGTTTTTGTATTATGTCAGATTATACTGTAATTATTTTTAACTGGTTTTGGTGGCCAAGAGCCAAAATATCATACAGACTTGTTACGGCTATAATAATTCATCGTTTCCAGAAGTCATTAAACGTCTGAGGTCACTATAACAAATGCTCCAGTTAAATGCACTTTTTATTTTTAAATACAGCCAGTTGGTTATAATACTACAACAGAGTAAAAATAGGATATTGAATACTAATAGAAATCGAAACACAATAAACGTAAATGTACACTTTAATTGTCGATGAGTACCATAAAAATAAAATAAAAAAGTGTATTATTGTACTTTATAATACATAATACCCAAAATTCTAATTTTAAGACTGATAGTGAAATGTTATAATATTTCTCTGCACATAAGTAATTTTAGGTTCCAAGCAAAGTTCAACAAACCAAAGATGTATTTGTTTTACAATGATGTTTTGTATTTTATTTGTTTGAACTTTTTTTCTGTCATCTTGTTTTAATTTTCAAAATATTTTGGCGCTCTCTGCCATATTTATAGTAATTTGAATTGCTAAATTTTTTTAATATTTGTTTTCATTTTATGTTTGTACCATTTTTTTCTCGTCAAAAAATTTAAAATTCAATGCAAGGTTGTTCAAAAGTTGTTTCTATAAAAGCTTAAAAATTCAAAAATACATAGTCACAATATTTTTTTAAGAGTTTGGGGTTCAAATATTGACAAAATTCATCAAAATCACGAACATTTTAAAATTATTTTGGAGTTAAGA